AATGTGTTAAACTACATTAATCAGTGATCCTAGTAGTGGAAGATAAAGTCGTTTTTCTCTACATAAATGTTTTTCTTGAATAATCTGAATTCAAACATTTTTGTCTATATATACACACGTGAATTTTATCAAATCTAAGTCCTTTTTAGAAAACGCTGCATGAATCAAATTCCAAATTTGGGAAAAGTAGAGAGATTAAAACCATACTCACCTACTCGTATCATATTTGCCAGCTGATAGGCCTTCCATTCATGATCTTGTTCCTGTTTTAACTAAAAACGGACAATACTTTATAAGTTTACTTAAATCGAGAGATTATTAAGTTGGATATACTATTTGATGTGACAAACAGTGGGACACTTACATTATCGTTGATCCCAGTATGTAACATACATTAAATCGAAGTAGACAAACATTTAACAGATAGGTATGAACCGACAATTTTTTTTTTAACTCAGATATTGATTATTTGATGTCATAACTGCGTAGAGGTGGCAAATAGGTAATTTGGATTGGGTAATTTCGGTTCTAGATTGAATTTGATTTAATTTTGTTTAGATTGGATCAGATTTGGTTCGGAGCGTGTACGGTGAATCGGATCAGGTATGGTCAATTTCTGGTCGGGTGATTATTGGATCAGTTGTTTTTCGGTTCGGATCGATTGATTTTTTGATCGGGTCGGGTCAATATTGAATCGGTTGATTTTTTGGTCTGGTTTATACTATATCAGTTACATTTTAGGTCGGGTCAATATCGGATCAATTGATTTTCGATTTAGGTTAACCTTTAGATCAGGTCAATTCGGGTTGAATTGGTTATGATCTAATCAAAATCAAGTATATATAGAATAATTAATATATACTTGAAAGAATATGTCTTCTTATTTGTTAATTTTATTATTTAGGTTTAATTTCAATTCTCAATCATTCAATATTTTGAATTAAACCATCATTTAGAGATGATAAATCGATAATTTGACATAAATACGATCTTATAATACGTGTTAGAATTTGTTATCAAACTTTTATATTGATCTCGCATGAAAAGTTTATAATGAAAACTATTTAATAAAGAAATAATTTTTATTAAATTTTTTATTTCCAAATATAAATTTAGTATTTTTATTAAAATTTAAAAAATAATACATAACTTTATTTGTTAAGTTTTAATCGTAATTTAAGTAAATTTTATATTATTTTTATTATAAATATAATATTATTTCTTTTGTTTTAGTTATTTTCTATTATTTTTTTATTATAAATATAATATTTTTATAACGAGATAAATAAACTTTATTTATTACTGTTTTCAATCTTACAATTAGATTTTTACTTTTATATTCCTCTTAAATTTTCTATTAGTATATTATAAATCTAATATTTTTAATAAATTATCAATTTTATTTAAATTAATTTATTATTGAAAATAACTTTTTTCGTTTAATAACTTTTATTAATTTCAATATGTTCGGGTTGTTTTCGGGTCAAGTTAAATTTGGTTCAGATTGCTTTTGGATCGAGTTAAAATTCAGTTTAGGTTGCTTTTGGTTCGGGTTAATTTTGGTTTCGGTTCAGGTTAATTTCGATTTTGATTGATTTCAGTTTCGCTAAATTTTAGATCGGGTATGATTCTGGTCGGGTATCAGATCAAATTTAATTATAATGTTTTGGTTAATATCATGTATTAGATTAAGTAAATCGGTTCAAATAATCGGATTCGAGTTAAGTTTACCATGTATAGAACCGTGGGTCAAATATGCATTATTATTATTTTCTATATGTAAGAAGAGTGTCTTTTTTGAAGGAAAAATTAGGTATATAACACGTGGTTTGAAGCAAAAAGGTTTGATTAGTTTATGATGGAGTTGGTTGTAATGAAAATGGTTTTGAAAAATTTGGTCTACAAGACACGTGGTTCTGACTAGGGTTGGGCACTCAACCTGAGCCCGACATGTTCCGACCCAATCGGTTCGGATTTTTTTTAAAAATTTTGGGTTCGGGTCAGATTTTTTAAGTGTGATATTCGGGTAAGGTTTAGGATGAAAACTATCTGACCCGACCAGAAAAAATATATAATTTTACCTTATATATTTATGAATAATAATATTTTTTAAAATATTCTTTTCTAATTAAGTCACTGTTTTTATTGAATAAAAATATTTTTTTATAATTATTTCGGGTCGATCGGGTTTCTAAGTCATATATTCGGGTCGGGTTGGGTGAAACCTTGTTTTGGTCGGGTCGGGTCTCGGGTGGAGACTCCCTTGTTCTCGAGTCGGGTCGACCAAAAACCTGACCCATGCATATCCTTGGCACAAAAGTCTGGTATTTAGTAGAAGACTTGTTTGTGTTTTACATAAATTAAAAGAGTAAACTACATGTTTAGTACCCTAACTATCATTTTTATTTCATTTTAATCACCTGACTATTTTGTTTTTCAAAATCATACCTAACGTTACATTTTGGTTTCATTTTGTTCACCCACCAATAAAAAATTAACGACTATGTTAACATGTCACCCTAACGTAATGCCACAACATCATTAAAAGACATCTAAAAGAATATCACGTATGTAGTTCTGTTAATTTTTTAATGAGGAGTGACCAAAATGTAACGTTAGGTATATTTAAAAAAAACAATAGTTAATGACTAAACGTAATAAAATAATAATTGAGATACTAAACGTTTACCCTAATTAAAATTATATTTGTATAAATTTTGATTTTAGCTTTAAATGTTATGGTAAATTACACTAATAGTTCATTGAACTTTTAAAACTTACATTACAATGATTAAAATTTTAATTTGTTTTTACTATATCGTTCATTAAAAAGTGTTGACATGTGACATTAAAATTTTATTCTCCTCAAAACTTTAATTTTCCAAGTTGATAGTTATAGTAAAGGTTGAGTTTTCAATGAACGAAGAAGCTATCAATCAATCTTAATGATTGAAGGATTTTATTTGATCATAAGATTAACATAGTTCTGTTTCAAAATGACCCAACTGTTGGTAGTGTCATATACAAATTTTTGTTTTGATTTTTGATAGAGAAAGCTATATTTTTACAAGTTTAAACTAAAGGAAATGACGAGAATAAGAAGAGGAGTAGTTCAATGATTTTGTTGTTCAAAGAAGTCACCTAACGATGATATAAACAACAATGAAAGGAGGTAACAATCTAATCAAAATTAAAAGTTGAAATTTTTTCAATCGACCCTTGTTTACTGTTAGATCAACTTGGAATATATCTATATTAAACTTTTAACCAAGTGAAGTTTTCTCATCGTTAGAATTAATCGTCAACCGCTTCATTTATCGAAAAATTAACCATTGTAATGTTTGTCAATTATATATATATAATTTTATGAAGGTTACTTTAATATGTAACATTAACAATTCTTAAGACATCTAACGATAATGTAGTGATTGAAACGAATTAAACGTTTAGTGATTGTGATAAGAAAAATTAAAATTCTATAATCAAAGTAAAATACCTTAATAACTATTAATAAAATTTAACCTAAATATTTTCATGTACCATACAAAATCTTGGAATTTAGAGGAATAATCCAATCATGTGGAGATTACGCACCGTATATTGCGTGAGGTTTAGGGCAAGGCAGATCACGACACCCAACATAATGGACATTACTCCACCAAACCACGTCTCTTGCACTCACGCTGTTTAAATGCAGCTTTATTTAATATTTGTAAGGGATAAACTAACTTTTAGCCCTTAAATTCGACAACTTTTAATTTAATTCCTAAATATTTTAGCTACACTCAATCCTTAAATTTAAAATTCTCATCATTTAATGATGTGATATTATAAAATTATAAAATATAAAATTTATGGATTAAATATTATTTTATCATACCATTTAATTTGATGTATTAAATATTAATCAATTATTAAGTAGTAGGACTGTTTTGTCGACGTCACGAAAACATTATACCCTGTAATATAATGCAATCTCAGAGTTTTATGTCAAGCAAAATGTGAAAAATTATAAAGCTGAAGAATGAATACAGATTCAAATAAAGGGGGATAAAGTTGAAGAAATTGTTAAATTTATGGACTTTATCCTGAAATTTAATTACAGATACATTAGTCAATTATTAAGGCAAGACTGTTTTGCCGTCAGGGGAAACATTCCACTTAGGACCTTAAAGAGGGGTTTTCCACTTTCAATAAATTTACCCACCTAATTCTTGGGATATTCCTTTTATTGCGTTCACGCCATAATCAAGGATTTATATTTATGTAATAAAAATAATTATAAATCGAGTTAATTCAATTATATCACAAGTTTTTAAATTATGGATGAACGCTCGATCGAATCAAGTCAACAAATCTTGAATTATTCGAGTTGACGAGTCCTATTTTATAACTCAAACTTTATTTGAAATTTTTCTGAGCTGAGTCGAGTTTATAAAATTCGAGTCGAGTCGAATTTTTGAGTTTAAATTTAAATTTAATTGTATATATTTTTAATATTATGATATTATTTAATTCTAATTTGAATGATTTTTTATAACCATATGCGATATATACATACTATATTTCTTCAAATATTTTTCATATGTAATATATCATACAAAGTCGAGGGGCTCGACTCAAACTTGAAAACTAATCAACCAATTACTAAAAGTTTCGAGTTATTCAAACTACTATTCGAGTTGTATTTTATAACTCGACTTGAACTTGAATTTTTTTTAGTCGAGTAGAGTTTATGACATTACAACTCAAAGTCAATTAAAGTCGAAAACTCGATTTTTCGACTCGAGTTATGATCACCTCTACTTTAAATTATTATTCTCATTTCAATTGATCCTTATACTTTTGATTATTTTAATTTTATCTCTAAATTATGACTTTTATTTTAAATTAATTTTTAAACTTCTAAATATTCCTATTTCATCCCAAAACTATGATACTACTTCTAAATTGATCCTCAAACTTTTGAATATTCCAGTTGCACCCTCAAATTTATCCAGATATATAATTAGTTTCAACCATATTTTAACTTAAAAATTATTTTTCTTCAAACATATAACAATATAGCTTTCCCTAGTGATTTTTTTAACATAGGATGCGATTAGAATGAAGAGAATAGTTTGAGGACTAATTAAAAACAATGGTCATAATTTGAGGATAAAATTAAAATATTTAAAAGTTTAGAGAGCAATTTAGAATGAAAGTCATGATTTGAGGACACGTGATAAATACTACAAATGATCAACGTATCATAACTTGTACCACTAACGAGCTGATTTAATGTTAAAGTTGATATCTTGATAAATTTAATTATATGTGAGTCTTGCCTAATTTTATTTGATAAAATTTATATGTTTTTTATTATAAATTTTATTGTAGTTATTTAAATTATATTGTTTGGAATTATACTTGTAATACTTTCAAAAAGTTTATGTAAATACACATTCAACGATAGCTAGCTCTGCACTGACTTGGCGCTTTGTCTAGAAACAGTGAACCTAATCGGACTGTGCATGATCTTTACACCCTAATTTCCTAACAACCCATTAGTTTGGCAATTCTATTTATCCTTTTTTTATTAATTCGTGTAAGTACAAAATAATATATGTTTAAAGACAACTCTAAACTAATTGACATTGAATGCTCACGCTCCTGACATTCAATGTGTTCGAACTAGATATCTCAAGGAATAATAATAATTCATTTACAGGGTCGGAGTTATGACGTTTGAGGTCCTGTGCAAATTCTTAAAAAGAGGCCCTTAGTAAAAATTGCAAAGTTTGAATGCAGTATATATAGGGAGATTGGTGATATTACTAACTCAAATCATAACGGTGTGGGATAGGGAGATCATGAAGATGAACTCATCTCTCGTAAAGTTGAGTTAGACACCCAAAAAATGAGATTTTTATTGTAATAAATCTAATTTTTTTGGGGCCATGTTCCGTCACTCAAATTGTACATGTCCCAACCCCGCCTCTGTTCATTTACCATTGAGGTTCCTTCGTGCAACCATTCTAATATTAAATTAACAATATATATTATAAATTATAACTATTTTGATTTGTTAATGATGGATAAAGTGTAAAAAATTATAATTAAATTATATTAAAATAATTTGTTTGGCCATTAAAACTTTTGAAGTTATAAATTGATCATTAGATTTGTTAAGTTATTATAAATTGTAATTGTACTTTATAAAATACTAATTAATTTCGTTAAATCTAATGATCAATTTGTTACAATTCGATGAAATTTAATGTAACACTCTCATTGGGGTTAAGTTTAAAAAATATGACTTTTACTAAAATTTTCATTTTTAAAAATTATCGTTTGTCAAATCTTAAGTATATTTTCATTATGTCCAAATTAAATTTATAGTATTTAAGAAGGGCCCAAGATAGGATTGTGCCATTTAATCAAGAGAAGTTAAGGCACATTATTATAATGATATTAAGAAGGCGTCTTATTTTTCTTTATGTTAGAATTAGAGAAATTTTTTATCGAAGCTATTATCAATGTCCTGCTTATTTTCCTTCACAATAATAAGCATCTACCTTCAAAAAAAAGAGAGTAAAGGGATTACACATGTGACGTGCAGTAAATAGTCTATTGTCTTTCCATAAATATAATTATTTCATCCAAGATTAAAATCCAGAATACTAATTAATATCACATGTAAAATGTTTTGGGTTTTCAAGTTGAAATTGTAAAATTTCCAAATAGGAGAATTTGCCAAAGTAAAGAAATATCAAAACAGTCCAACAAGATACTGCATATTTTTTCAAGTCCTACTTTGAATGATAAGTCTTGTTGGCAAGGTTATATATTTTCCAAAAGAATCCCACAATATTAACATGTATCAATTAGATCATTTAGTCTCCACAGACATGAGCTTGGGTGTTCCAATACCGATTGGTATTTTGCGTAAAGCAAATTTAATACATAAGGGTTAAAATTTAAATAATATTTATTTATGATAATGATAATTTAGATCCAACACGTTAAAAAATACAATTCAGATTAAGAGATTGTATCTTTTCTAATAATGTACCATATTCTTATTGATGTGATTGATACAAATATATTTAAAATTTTGAAGTGCATGATTTACATACAATTCATGTTAGATCCAATATAACATGTAATGTCTTGAACTGATGGCTAGACTGAAATAAGGATCAGATTGATACAATAATTATATTTGAAGGACTTAATTAGAATGTCTTGAAGTTTAGAGATGTAAAAGACAATTAACCCAGAAGAAAAGCAAATTAAAAAGACTCAAATACAGTGTTACGGTCAGACAAACTCCACGTGGAAGAAGTGTACGTTATATATACGCTTTATATTCAAAAAAAATATTAAATAAATAAAATAAAATCTTTATTTATTTAATAAATTATTATTATTAATTACAGCGAATCCTCCTTTAATACTTTCTCATGCATCTCGTGTAATGCAATTTTCATTTTCCCTCGCCTCCATTTTATATACTCTTCAATTTTCCCCCCTCTTCTCCCAAACAAACCGAATCCAAAAAGGAAAAGAAAGTTTACTCGAGAAAATTTATACAAAAATGTCGAGAGCTACCGTTGAGCTTGATTTCTTCGGAATGGAGAAGGCTAACTCCTGCAAATCTCAGTTCCAGAAATTCCTCGATCGCCGTCGGAGCTTCCGAGGTAAGTTTTTTTTCTTCCATCATTTTTAGTTTTTCCCTTTATTTTTAGTGAATGAGTGTGTTTAAAGTGAAAAACGATGGTGATTAATGTTAACAGGCATTCAAGGAGCCATTTCGAAGATGAATCCTGAGCTGATTAAGTCTGTGATTTCGTACGGCTCGATGAACCGGAGTCCGGTTGACTGGAGAAAGTCCTTTTCGGTGCCTTCGAGTCCAAAAGAAGATCGTAGCCCGATTCCTTCTTTACCTATTCTGAATCCCGCCTTAAGGTAAATCGACTTTTCTGCAGTTTCATCGCTAATAAACTTGGATTAAAATAATCAGCGTGAAAGACGTTAACGTTTTATTCATTTTTCAGGCCTAGTTTTTCTGAGGACGGTCGTGAAACAGCTCCGTTGACGATTTTCTACAACGGAACGGTTTCCGTGTTCAATGTACCTCGAGACAAGGTTTGGTTTAATCATTTATCTAAATATAATATCCATAGATTTGTTTTTGAAAATCAATGCATTGAAAATTGTGATCTATTCAATTTTGAATAGGCGGAGAGTATTTTCAAACTCGCGGTTGTAGGAAGCTTAAAAAATGTTGAATCGACAGATTCATCAAAAGTTGCAAATCCTTCTAACGATCAACAAAACCTTCTCGAAACTCGTAATGGTGGTCAGTTCCTGTTTTTAACTTTTTCCTTCCATTTTCAGCCTTTATTTTAGTAATATGTATTATACAGTATATGTACATGACTAGGGAAAGTTACCAAATTCGTATACAAAAGACTTCATCTATTTGTGGATATTTTTATGCAGATTTGCCAATTGCTAGAAGAAAGTCGCTGCAGAGATTTCTGGAAAAGCGCAAAGAGAGGTAAGATAGTCATTTACTTAAGAGTATTACTAGGGAAAGTTAGCATCATCATTTATCTAAGAGATTGATTAATGAAATTATAAGTACAAAATAAATCTAATCTTAATTAATTTTTTTTATCTTTATGGTAAATTATCAAAACCAAATCAACCAACCGGCATATTATTAAACAAATATCTAAAATAAAAGTAGATGATAAATATTTATTTAATACATTAATGATAAAATATTTAATTCGACGTGTTTAAAATTGATTTATTTATAAATCAAAGGCTTACGGTAAATTGTATGAAATTGAAAAATTATTTGTTGTAATATCAGATAATTATCTTAAAAAATATATATTTTATTTAAAATGGAATTAGGAAAAACACCTTATATTCATAAAAATCCTTTGAAAGCATAATGGATTTCAACGTAGATAAAGTAATAAGCCTTTGTAAAATGCATCTTTGCGCTTGCTTGCATTTAGGCACATGGAAAAGGCGAAAGAAAACATATTTAAATTTACTTTGACGTTTCAATGTCCATAATACACAACGCACCGAAAGCACTAAAAACTTCCAAGTTAAGAAACAGCACGCACCTTTGAATAAGGGCAGCCACATAGACCGTTACTAACCCAAACGTAAACAAACTCAACCGATTGAATTTTAATTTAAATGATACTTTTAAATATTTTATTTAACTATTATTTTTAAAAAAAATTACAAATATTTTAAATCTTACATAAAAATAAGTATTTAAATCTTAAATGACTATTGTTTTTCATTTTCTTGTTATGCTTGAAATACTTAATGTAGATTTTTTATCCCAAATTTGTCAAACATCTAACACGTGGTTACTTTTCATTTGTGTGTTCAGGTTGACTTGTACACCGCCTTATGCTTGGTAGTCGTTACACCTAAAACTAAACGCGTTTTCGAGAAAATGAAAGGGGCCTAAATTTTGTCAAACTTATACATTGAAGATGCTAGGAAAAAAGGAGCCGACAAGAAGATAGGGATTTTTTTTTTTGGTTTTAGACAGATAATATATATTTAGACATTTATCATGAATTAAATTAGTTGAACAATACTTGTATTTTGGGTAGCATATGCTTATGTCAATTAAGAATTTGAAGGCATTATTATTATTTTTAGTTTATACATATGTGGGTTTGGACTTCCATTTTATATTATCTATGGTGACCTTTGTATGGAAGCAAGATACCTTCTTTATTGATGAATTAATTAATGATTTTTTGTGTTTATTATTATTTTTTAAATAAGTTTAATTATAAGTTTAATATTTTTATTTTATGAAGATTGAAAAATTAAGTTCAATCCATATATGATAGAATTAAATATGTCATGGATTTCTTTTTATTATTTTAAAATTTAATAATATATTTTATATTTACAAAAGTAAGTTAATGTACTAATTTTTTATTTGAGGATATACAATATTTAATTTTTTATAATATATTTTATATTTACAAAAGTAAGTTAATGTACTAATTTTTTATTTGAGAATATACAATATTTAATTTTTTTAATCATCATATATTGATGATTTAATTAGAACGCATTGAAGTTTGGGACCAATTTAAACTATGAGCATAGTTTGAGGATGTCAGGTGAAATTAACCTCATTTAATTAGAATGCTTTCGTTAAACCTCTCAACAATAACTGGGTGGCAGCCTGGAACTCTTTACTTATCCACTGCAAGGGTGCCTTTTAGCAGTGATCGTCCCTTATCTTTCACTGCTCCATTACGCCAGGAGACTTGGAGCTACTATAGGGTAATATATGTGTATAATGACTTTAGAAACGATCGTAAAATAAAAGATCGAATATTAAGATTTTACGTAAAAAATTATAAATAAAAGATAAAATAAATATTTTTTTAGATTTTGCACGAATCATATGGTTTGATTGATTTACTTCTAACCCTTATATATAATATATTATATTTATGTATAGAGAAAATTACTATGATCGTAGATTAATTTGAATTTGAATTTAACTAATGAATCGACCTGAATATGTTGATTAGTTATTCGGGAGAACCTGACGATTTTGGTTGGTTTGATTGCGGCATGGATAATTAGTACAAAGAATCAATACTTACTTTTAGGGGTGTTCGCGGTATGTTTGGATCGTTTTTGGTTAAAAAAATCATCCGATCCAAAAGTATAAATGTTTGCGGTTTAAATCGATTTGGATGTTTTTAAAAAAATTCGATCCGATACAATTAAATACGATTTGATTCGGTTTGAATTTGTGCAGTTTTTGAATTCTAATTTTTCAAAATAATTCAAAGCAACAACACTGTCTAAGGGGTCAAACAGTTTCACCATTTCACATCCTAAGCTAACATAGATCGAATAAACACCGTTGATGAACATAAAAGGAACAATATCAACTTAATCACGAGGACTTGCGCACATGTATTGTTTTGTTATTCTCAATCTAGTAATTGAGTTCATGCTGTCTGTTTTGTCGAAAGCTTTGAATTCTTAAGGTGATGCTTTAAGTCAGGGGTTAATTTCCCTTAGAAACTGGGAATTCTTGATGAACAAACAATGTGAAGGAAAAAACACAATCCTTTAAAATCCTTACATTTAGAATTTGTAAATCGGCATAACAATAGGTAAAATAATCTCTTGTATTTTTAATAATCTGGTTACAACTTTAGGGACCTATATTATATATATTCAAGAGTCAAGCAATATGAAAACACTTATAGTAATAGATATCGGTTCGGTTCGGTTTTGAATTTTCAAACCAAAATCGAATCGAATCGAACCTATCAATTTAAAAAAAAAATCAAACTCACTTAATCAGTTTTAATTTTTTTTTGGTTATTGATCTTTTAAATCGATTTTCGATTTTTTTTTTGGATTAAATTAAATCTGAACATCCCTACAGAACATATAATTTTAAAACAACTTCTACACAATTCAAATACTTTTCCACTTGTAAACCAAAAGATATTTAACACTTTCTTTTTTGAATATAGAGCTGTTTGATTTTATTGAGAGGAAGTTATTACAAAAGAGTAAAGTTAAAATAACTGAAAAAACAACAGGAAAAAAAACACGCAAACAACGCACAAATTATCCAAACGGCAGATCTCCTAAGCATTCAGAGATGAAATGTAGAGAGCAAGCTCGGAGAAGGAAAACAAGGGGAGCCTCGAGAGGGAGATAGAAAGGAAACCCCAAAAATAGACAACAACACGATCATCGGGTAAGGTGGATCGGAGAAACGACGATAATCATCAACCGTGCGATTTGTGGAACTTCCTCCACCCAAAAAGATCCTCGGGTGAAGACAGACCCTCTTTTGCCAATTCATGGCACTCCGTGAACGTCTTGAAAAAGCAGTGGATGTCCCAAATTGTGCTGCGAATGACCGATGAATCGTCGACACCGTAATGAAGCTTGATGATGATGGACTTCGAATCACTTTCCAAAATAACTCTAGAGAGCCCCAAATCTTCTGCAAATTGAAGACCATTTAGAGCTGCAACTGTTTCTGCCATGAAAATTGAAGATAGCAAGCTTTAAATTTGGAGACAGGAGCCCAAAACGTTACCAAATTCATCTCTAATAATTACACCGGAAGTTGCTTTCTTCAATGTCGAAGAGTATCCAGCGTCAACATTAATCTTTGCTAGATTGGTAGGTGGAGGAAACCAAGCAGCCGGAGGAGGGGTTATAGAAGAAGCACGAGCCAAGACTATGCTTTCAAATTCTTTCCCAAGGTCCTGATGGAGGTAACAGTAGCTTCCACCCTTAGCAATTTATTTTCATAGATTAAAATGCGAGCATGCCATAAACACCATATTGCAGTTGCTACAATTACCTTATGAGACCGATTGCTATGCTGAAATAGCCAAGAGGGCCACTCCACGGAATCTACATTAGAAACTTCTGTAGGCCATTTAACTTTTAAAGTGTTCCAAACCTATTTAGCAAAAAGACAGTCCCTAGCAACATGAGTAATATTTTCCATTGGAGCCTTGCAACGGGGGCAACTTGAATCGTTCGTAATTCGTTTAATACTCAAGTTATGAAAAGTAGGAACATAGTTACGTACACACTTCCATACTAGTATACGGACCTTAGGGGGACACTGCAGTTTCCATAGCTGTTTGTAGATATTCGCCTCCATATTATTTATTTCAACATCTTGATTATTAAACACTTAAATATGCTCGATTCTACATCTTGATTATTTAAATCTTTCAACGGCAGAATTAATAATTATTTAAATATTGATTAAAGGACTTCTATATATGATAAAATGCAAAATTAAACAAGCTATAACAATAATTTTATTTTATAGTATATTTTTTGGTTCAGATACTAATATTTGAAGATATTGAATCCCGACTATTCTAATATCGAGCGACTAAATTGGACATCAGATTATTTTATTTAATGCCTTTAAGTACAATATGCCATTTAAGTGTAGAGACTGGAATGTAGAGTTTATATAAGTATTGAGATGAAAAAGGGGATTAAGTCATAATTGATATATGAAAGAATTGAAAGCTAAAGGGCTATATTATAATTTATGCTGAATTCATTGTTAGTGGAGAAGGTAATTCATGTGTGCAAGTTTATATTTGTTATAAATGTATGCATGAGCTTCAATGTTATTTGATTGATTTATAAAAAAAAGATTTGTATCGATCTTTCATGTATGATAATGATTGAATTGCTTCTCTTGTACTTTATACGTTTAATAATATAATTCCTAATCGTTTGATTTTGTCTATATGAAATTTTTGGGGGGGGGGGGGAAATTCTATTTTAGTTATGTATTTACTTCGATTCCCGAATGTGACGACTCTTATTCGACTATAAGCCTTTGGTCCAGATAATGAATGTCACATATTGTTTAAAAGGACAAATCTTGTACTCAGTATTCACGGTGACTTTCGTAAAATTTGAGGTCAAGTTGGGTTGAATATTATTTTGAGAAACAAACTATTTTTATATTATTTTTTATCATCTTCAAATATGAAGATTGAATGTATAAAATGCTAGATAGATAGACAGATATGAATGTATATATATATATATCTTAGATAAAAGATTGAATGTAGAAAATTAAAAATCCCAAGTCGCAATCATCACCAATAATATTCCTTGTGTTTTACCATTGAACTCTGGATGGGCCCCAAACAAACGCTAAGCATCAATATTTATCTCTCTACTATCTCATTATTCAGACCTAAAAAAAAACTTTAGAAATCTTTGAAAACCCTAAAATCATTCACACATCTGGTTCATTTTGTTGATGGTGAACTACTTGGGGATCGATCGAAGCGAAGAAGATGACCATTACATTTGGGACAATCATCAACTTTCTTGGGGACCATGAAATACATATAGCAGCTCTTGCAACCAGCCACCACCAAGACGTTGTCGGTTTCTTTCTCGAGTACCCCATGCTGCTTGTTGTTACTGTTATTGTTGTAATCCCTTGAAGGAGATGATTCCGATGATAAGTAGTTATCACTGTCATACCAGATATCGCGGTCGTCGTCTTCTTGGGAGGAGAAATCTCTGCTGTATTCGGCTGCCGCTTTAGTCGTTGGATCCTCCGTCGGTTCCACCCAGTCCTTCCGTTTTTTTATAGTAAAATTCCGCTATCTGCCATATAAAAAGTTTTAGTGTTATGGTTAAAAAACCCTATGAGGCTATGATACTATGAGGAAAAGCCATTAAAGAACGAATTTACCTTTACATCAAGGCATTGTTCTTCCCAGTAGTAAGGGAGGGAGACACGGGAGTTGTGCTCCTCGACGCTAGTGTTGAAAACGGCACCGTTTGGGTCCTTGTTATCATCGTCTCCTTCTCCAACGCCATTTTTATGGTTTAGAGTACAGTTTCGTGAAGACCTTTCCAAAGATGCTGTGATCGTCGTCATCTTTGGTTCTTTCATTATGTGCTCCCAAACGTGAAATCCCCAGAAAACAAGAAATGAAGAAAAGATGAATGATTCATGGGAGAAAACAACAAGAGAGAGAGAGAGAGAGAGAGAGAGAGAGAGAGGTTTAATGATGATATGAACAAAGTAAAAATGGACAGAAATGTAAGGCGAAAAAGGCCGAAGTGAAACTGTGAAGGAATGTTTTAAAAAGGGAAATAAACGGAGAAAAGGACGAAGAAGTGAGTTAAAAGAAGGAATCGACAAGACCAATGTATTGCTTCTTTTACCCTACAAACTGGAATTGTAGACTACAACTTCACGAGATGGACGATGGAATTTGGATGGGCCCATTCTCATTCGGATTTTCCTTACACACAACATTTTGAAATTTGCTTCTTCTTTTTTTAAATAAAAAATAAAATAAAAGCAACGTTTCAATCAACTAGAGAACAAATATATAAGTATAGAGGATGGGACAGTCTAATAATAATAATACTGAATTAGGGTTTAAAGAGCGATTAATATGGATTTAGAATCAATTAAAAAATCATAAAAACATCGAATTAATCTAAAACTCGTGGAAACACTTGTATGAGTATCTCAACATAAAAGAAATATGTATAAAACGATTTGGATAAAATACCAACGAAAGGATAAGGATAGAAACTGCTTACGTATAAAAATATTAAAACAATAAGGGTAAATTACTCGTTTGGTAATTGAAGTTTGCTCACTCTTCTATTTCACCCACTGTACTTTCAATTTTTTTCAATCTAATCACTGAACTTTATATATTAAATTTTTTTCATCACTCGACCGTTAACTTCATAACACCGTTATGACATGACTTATTTTAATATTAAAACTAGCCACATGTTATTTATATTTAATATAATAAATATTAATACATAAAATTTAATTTTTAGGGTCAAAAATACCTAACTAGCGTGGAAAAGGAAATTTGATTGAAGAAGAACATCTCCGCTTCACCTGTTAGTCTTTTCTCCGATGGAAGAACTACTGCTATGTTCCATACTTCCTTCTGCACAGTTTTTGGCATCAAGTGTGAACGACCTCTCGGTTGTTTCAATGAGTAAAGAGTTCTTGCAGTTGGTGAAGTCTGAAGGGAGTTAACTTTGTGTTAGACGAAAAATCCTATTAAGCTTCTACCTATTATTTGACAATGCTAATATGGTTTTCTCTGATCCACTATAGTTTGCCATATTCTAGTAGCTAAGTTAGTTTTTTTTATGAACTAAGCTGATGCAAGCACGTTTTCAACTATAAAGGGAGTACTCTTGAGCATCCTTTTAATGCATTTACTTTATAATAACCTTATAATATATACTATTATATTACATATCATTCTAAGGATATTAGTTATGAAGTTAAAGAATAACTTAGTATGAACACATCTTACACATTGTTATTTTAATATGTTAAGCATGTTAGGATAGCTATATAATTATATTATGCATGATTATAACATATACATCAAGGCATCATACTTATAATGCAGTTCATTAGTTCATTTTGCATTCATATTAGCTCTTAGGCTTTATACCTTACCTTACACATATTAGGAGATGATATAATTAGCTCATGACATTCAAACTTAGCTCACATTACCATAATCAAACATGGCAGCAAGGTAATTAGCTCATATTAGCTCAATACCATGGAATTACCTTGTTTCCTTGCACATGTAGGTACATTGGAGCATAATAAACGTTGAGGTAGCTTGGTGAATGATTTGGACGTCATATGCAGCTCACAAACAGCTTACAAAGTAAAAGGCAGCTCATGAAACACTAAGGGAAGCTCGATTCAGCTGGAGGAGCTTAAGGCTAGCTAAACTTAGCTAGTTGGACTATTTGGAGCTGAGTTGCCAAAAGTGATGTCAAAGGTAGCTGAATGTAGCTGAACATAATGTTAAGGAGCTCACAAGGACTTAACTAGGAAGCTTGTTCATAAATAGCCCATGTTTGCTAGCTAGCTTGGAGGAGACATATGCACACCCAAGAGAGAGAACATGACCAGCCATCATCCCATGCACAAGGCTGCACCACAAGGCTCCCTAGAACACCCATGTGCGTGCCATATGACCAGCCCCCATGTGCCGTGCATATGATCTCATTTAGGCGCCAAGATGAAGAACCATTTAACCATTCGGCCAAGCATCATCTCCTCTCCCATTTGGCGCCAATTTGAAGGGATACAAGTGTTATTCGGCCAAGGATCATTTCCCTCCATCAAGGGCTGAACCATTATCTCTTTTAGCATTTAAATTATGTCTTTATAGGGAGATACATGGGCTGGTCGAACCATTATGTCTCTATTCGGCTATGCCCCTCCATTTCCTATAAATAGGAAATCATTCATCATTTGTAATCAGACCTTTGTTTTAATTAAAGTGAGATTATTCTCTTCCTTAAGTCCTGGTGACTTTTTATCGACTTATCAAGTATAATTTATACTTGTGGCGTTAACCTTCTTCTTTCATCTTGATACTTCTGGTTCTTAGTTCATATAACTAGTGGGTCAAAGTACTTAACACCACCCCTTGAAGAAACAATATAAAGATTGGGTCTTTGCTCTCTATAGCATTGGTTCTTCTTTGAGCATTCTTCAAGATACTATCCTCACAACCATCCTTTTTGTTTCATCGCCATAACCATAACCATTTCAATCATCTTCCGCTTCCATTTCTCATTTATTAAATAGCCTACCTATTAAACCATACATTTACCACCCTTATCCATTCTGTTTTGAGTCATTCACTTGTGCAGGTTATTTTGCTTACTTCCTAGATCAACAATCAAACGAGAAGGTAGAATTACCTTACATCAAGCGGTAATCAGAGCTTTGGTGGAAGAAAGCAACGTGCAACAACAACAAAAAAAAATACAAAAAGAAGTGCAAGTGAAGTGCAAAGTGAAAGAAATCAAGAAAAATCCAGCAAAGAAAATCAAAGCACTCAAAAGAAGAAATTGAAAGCACTCGAAAAGAAGAAAAAGAAAGAAAGAAAAGTTGGAAGAACTCATCAACAATTCTCATCACCAAGCCATTCAAGTAAGCCTTTGATTGTGGTGATAGAAGGTTATGAAGTGACTTGTGTAAGTAACCCTTTTGTTTCTATTCTTTCTATTTCTAAGCCACCCTTTCATTATATTTTTCCCCTTCCTAGTAACCTTTTTGCAGCCGACGTCAAACAAGTAAAATTTACTTGATATATTCTTGAGTAAAAGTTTTCTAGAACTTGAGGCAAGAGAATCGAGAGGAAAAAGGCTGGAGCGTGTGTGAGATTAGAAGAGGACAAGTAAAAGCCATTAAAGTCCTAGAGTGCAAACACGAGCGGATTGAGTGACATCAAGTTTCCTTGGAGTGACTCATGAGGCTTTATGAGAGTATATTCTGGTAAGGTCTTTTACACATCTTATTCTTTTCTTATTTCACTAACCATGTCTTGGAGTTCAAGACGATCCCCAGAAAGAGAAAACCCTAACTTACAAACACAAGCTATTATGCACGAAATGGAAAGATTGTTGAAATTAGAATTGGAGCCTTTGCAAGATCGTATGGATCAATTAGAAGCATCTTTAGGCAACCGGAGAGTAAACCACCCTAGAATGGAAGAAGACTTAGAAGAGGAAGAGGTTGAAGTAACATCAGTAGCAAGGAAAGATGTTCATCGAAATCAAAATGACAACTTCAGCAACATCAAAGTGACTATTCCTCCATTTCAAGGACGAACTGATCCAGAAGCCTATCTTGATTGGGTAATCAAAATTGAACACATTTTTTAATGCCAAAGCTATACGGAGCAAAAGAAGGTTAGGCTTGCTGCTATGGAATTCGTGGACTATGCCTTAGTTTGGTGGGACCAATTGGTGAGTTCAAGAAGACAAAATGGTGAACGCCCCATCACAACATGGGATGAAATGAAGGCTATTATGAGGAATAGGTTTGTTCCTACTCACTATCACTGAGATCTTTATCATAAATTACAAAATTTAAAACAAAGAAGCAAGAACGTTGAAGATTATTTCAAAGAAATGGAGATTACCATGATCCGAGCCAATGTGGATGAAGATAGAGAAGCAACAATGGCAAGATTTTTATCTGGCCTAAATCTTGATATTGCTAACCTTGTTGAACTTCAGTATTATGTAGAGATTAAAGAAATGGTGCATATGGCCATGAAAATTGAAAGACAACTCAAAAGGAAATCCTACACTAGGAGCAGTCCAAACTCGGCCACCAAATGGAAGCAATAACCTATTACTTTCCAAAAGAAAACTCCAGTCCAAACAAAGGATCGTGCAGAGGTACCTAAAACTACACAAGTGGGCGAATCTAGCAAGGGTAAAGAAAAGCAAACCAGCACTTTTGAGAGATCAAGAGACATCAAATGTTTCAAGTGTTTTGGAAAAGAACATATTGCTAGTCAATGTCCCAACCAAAATACCATGATGATGCTTGACAATGGAGATATTGTATCAGATTCTGATGAGCCTATTTTTGACGAGGAACCTGAAACAATACAAGAAGAAGAAACGGAAGAAAATGCAGATCATGGTGAGATGCTTGTTTCAAAGAGGTGCCTACAATCACAAACATCCCAAGATGATATTCAGAGAAACAATATCTTTAATATAAGATGCCATGTCAAGGATAAGGTTTGCACAATGATCATCGATGTAGGAAGTTGCACAAACGTAGCCAGCACTCTTATGGTTGAAAAACTTGGATTGGCAACATCAAAACATCCTACTCTATATAAAATCCAATGACTCAATGAAGGAGGTGAGTTAAATATTACCAAACAAGTTCTAATTCCTTTCTCAGTTGGTAGGTACAAGGACGAGGTACTTTGTGACATTGTCCCTATGCATGCTAGCCACATCTTACTTGGGAGACCATGTAAGTATGATAAAAGGGCCATTCATGATTGTTTTCACAATCAATACACTTTTAAGCATGATGGACGCAAGGTGACCTTGATGCCTTTAATGCCAAAAGAAGTACAACAGGATCAATTACATATGCGAAAGAGTGTACAAGCATGGCGTAAAGACAAAACTCCGACGAAAAATGAAGATGAACTAAACAA